GAAATTGTGGATATAAACAAACCATTTGTGTGTTTTTTTTTGGTTTTACCATGACCTGTGACACAACTGCGGCCTTGGTGGCCCACATGTGTGATGTCGTGCAGTTCTACATGCTACCGGAGCTGAAAGAAGATCTGGACAACGTTCAGCTGGCTCCGTCCCAATTTGAAAGTTATCATGTCTTGCTAGCTAACGAATTGCCGAAATTCTACGATCTGGTGCAGGAATTCCTTCAGAAGACCAATAATGCTGGACACGAAGAGGTGGGTGGATCTCCTCGCGATTTATTCTATTAGTTACAGTCTGTTTCCCTTTAGCTGAGGGCTCAAATTGTGATGCTTCTTTGCGAGCTGACAGCTGCTCCTACCGTTTACCAACTTAATGATGGGAGTGGTAACTTGCTGCGAAATGCCAATAAATTGGGAAGGAAACTCTCGGATACGTGGGGGGAATCAATGGACGCGCACATACTTAAAAACTACGAGAAAAAGCTGCAAAAGAACTGTTGGAAGCGACAGCTTGGCGCCGTGCATGGGTTTGCCAGATATCTAGAGGTGGTAGTTAGAAAAGTACTCATGATTGATTTATTCAAAATGTTCGGCTCATCATTGCAGCTCCGTTATACGAAGGACGACAAAATGACCACCCAGATGCTGGCCTTCAGCTTGTCGGTCGGACTCAATGTGCGAGAGTGCTACGACTTTGTCTATAAGCAACTCGGTGTGCAGATCTTTTCAATAATGCTGAAGCACGGCGTAGGCATGATGCTTGTTCTCTGAGAACCATAGATCGTTAATTGTTTAACTTGCAGGACCTTAAGGACATTCAGGAATTGAATATCCACAGCGTGATCTATGATCATGCGCTTAGAGATGCCTTCAGCATGGACTCGATTGAAGCTGTGACTGCCATATGGAATTGTCTGTACCTCTGTCTGGATCACTTCATTGATCTGGATGCCTTTACGGTGGGGGCTGTCCTCACAAAATAGTTGAATATTATTTACAGAGTGGTTTATCCCCCACAGTGGAACCAATGCGATGATATGCTGGACCGGCTCCTTCAAAATGTGACAATGTCATCAAAAGCCAACAACTCCATATGCCTGCTTCAGTTTATAACACGTCTTGGCTACTACTTCACCATCAATCGAGGCGAGATCGAAGCCGCTCTGGCCACGGATCTTACACGAGCGGATCAACTGGATGCCTGCCAGGAAGTGTGCTCCTCGATCAACTCTAGCACCAGTTATCGTTGGGCCAAGAGCATTCTGCAAATGCTCGTCTTGGAGTCGGAGAAACTGCTGCAAGGCCCTGAGGTTTGCGCAGAGCTACTCGGCCAGATGCAGCGCTGCTATCTGGTCTGCATCCTGCCCATTCCACTTCAGGCTCTGCATGTTCATTTGCCCGAGTTCTACACAAAATTCGTGGCTGTGCTCCTAGAGTGCATGGTGACCCATAAGATGGCACCGACAGTTCAGAAGGTGAGCTTGATCTTTATCCGTGCAAAAGGCCAACGAATGACATCCCTTTGCGCAGCTGGTGCAGCGCTTTACAGAAATATTCAGCTTCCAGCTTAAGAACTGCTCGCTCCATCAGCTACCCAGCGACCTTGAGGAGTATGTGAAGGCATTGAAGTCCCTACAACAAACCATTTCTAAATAAAAACGAAAATTTAACTGATGAAATAATCGGCAATTAATGGATAAGTGAGTGTTGCTATGATCGCATGTGGCAGTATCGCAATCAGAGCCGGCCGCAGACCCAGAAAGAATCCTCTGTAGCCGTGCAACTGAATGATTTTGAGGCAGAGATGCGTCTTCGAGGGGAACTTCTTGTAGCAAGAATTCATGACCACCGTTTTTACCGCTTCTACTGGCGTCAGGATTAATGATATGATGCTGCTCGTTATCGTCATTGCCATCAGATCGATGACCCAATCCTCATCACGAATTCTGTGGAGTTTCAAAAGCATATCCGACACCTTTTGTGAGGGGCATTCAAATTAAAGCGACTATGGATAAAAGATAGTCCGTATATGTTACCCAATCGTGTACAGGTGCGTAGAGCGCTGCCACCGCTCCGGTGGTGAAAGCATGCAGCTCGCATCCACTGAAGAGGAAGGACATTCCACTCTTACCATACATGCACTTGAGAGCCTTCCAGGGGTCTCTATAACTGCAATAAAAGTAACTTGAAAAGAACAGCACCCACAAAGCTTTCGAGTTAATTTGTTTACTTGCGCTGCAAGAAGGGACGGCGGGTTAGATCGGCCTGCCGCACTATTGCCACCTTGGCAAATGGCGTTGAGAGCAGGCCGCCGCCTAATCCGCTTATGCCCGCCACTGTGGAGGTGTTGTATGGCTCCAGTATCAGCAAGTACTCGTTGTCCTTCAGCCAGTACAATGCATACTTTGTCCCGGTCTGAACCGTACACCGCAGCAGTGCACCACGAATGCCGTAGTAGAAGCCCGCAATCCTCTTCTGCTTGAACATCAGATGGACCACATCCGAATACGAGACGTAGTGCAGCACATTTGCCTGGATGTTCACTCTTATTATGTCTATGGGATCCATCAATATCTTTTAACATGTCTTCCCCAAACGTAGGAATAACGTGTCCGAAACGCGATTGGCGAAGAAGCGCGCTTGTTCGTCACCGAAGCGAAACTCCTGTATTGTATTGTATTTATTATGTACTGTATTTTGGGGGACTTCGAACAGTTTGTGGAGCTGTTCCTGGACGGCCACACACTGGAAGCATGTGTTGCCCTTTTGGAAGCGCAGCAACGATTAGAATGTACTCTTCATCAAACACGAGCACATGATTACCGTTCCCGCCGTGGTTCGTCGCTGTGGGAATATTGGCGACTGGCGCCATCATATGAATGAGGAGATGTCCGAGCGTTTTGATGCTTGGAGCGAGCAGCATGTAAGCGGTTCTGGTTTACGATTTGACTACGATTAAGCCCTTCACCTATTATTAGTACATTAAATAATCAAATCATTATTTCGTTATTGTAGCTTAGTGTACTTAATTGAAATACAATTAAATGGTAATTCCTTCACAGAAGGAAATTTTGATTGCTTCCTGATATCGTGTTCAAGAATGTATTAATAACAATGTAACACGCGTACAAATTAGCGCGCAATTTTTTTTCCAGCTCCCATATTGAAATGACTCTTGTCAGGGAGCTGTCGGCGGCGGCCACCTAGGCTAGGGAATTCCTCATCGCTATCAAGGGTCCCTCCGTAGACACTGTGGTCTCTGGGCACGTAGGCCCTTGATACGGACTGATGGCTGCTACTCGGTGATAAGTCACGCGATCCCATCTCCTTCTGGATTCGCGGTGGCGCTGAGTAGTAGGAATCAAGCGAAATCTCATCAAAGTTTGTCGAAGAGGACGCAGGAGTAATAGTGTAGTTTGGCTTGACCTTAAGGGGAATGTGCTTCCCAGGCTGGAGTGGAATGGCCAGGTCTGCACACATGTAGTCGCTAAAGGTGAATCCCCAACGCTTGACCATACTGTTGGTACAATATTTCGAGCGATCGATTTTCTCATGGTACTAGAAATAAAATTTGATGGTTAGCAATTGATAAAAACTAGAAATATCTTAAAATTTAAACTTACATCGCACGAAATCCCTTCAGTATATTCAAAAAAGTCTTTGACAAAAAAGTTGTTCGTCACATGGAAATTGATCCGATCATTCGTAACCCCAGCCACGTCCAATACACTCTTCTTTAAGGTGTAGAACAAATGGTGGATATCAAACACCATAATCTTTCGCTCATCTTCGTCTATTTCGGCCTCGGATGCCAGATAACGGAAGCAAGACTTTACCACCGGCATTAGCTCTGGGGTCGTGTAGACAATAACCGGATCTTGGTCCAATTTTTCTTCATTGCGGACGGATAACCAATTGAAGATATCAATATATAGTTTTCCCATGTTGGTCTCGCCAAAGGCCTGCGGTGGCAAGGGCAACTTGTGGGTAGTCTTGGAGTGATCCTGCGCATCTCTACTTTGTCCGTAGATGATGTGGCCTGAGAATAAATTGTGGTTACGACTAGGTCCAACGCATCAGTCTTACATCAACACTCACCCGGATTAATCATGGTACTGTAATTAGAGCTTATGCCTCCCTTCAGAGAGTAGCGGCAGGCGGAAAACTCAGCGGGCACGTAAATATCACCAGTCAAGGCCTTGGTAAAATAATTGAAGCTAACAAACACAAAATCCTCATTCTCCAACTCTGCAAGCAAAAATCAGCGACGAGTTTTGTTAATGGCAACTGGCTCTCGTTCAGAACACAGTACCTAACTTACCCATAGAATTTTTTGCTGTCAAAATAATGCGTTCGATCTTTCGCTTCATTTGAAGCTCGGCACTTATGGCCTCGTTTTTCTCTATTTCCATTTCTGCGACGGAACCGCCCAGACAGTTAAGACGCTCTTTCTTTGCTGTTCTCTCCAGAACGTTTGCATTCTTAGCCATCGAGTTATACGGACCGCGTTCCTGGTCGCCCATGCTTTTCCATATAGGATCACACTTAGCCACCGCCTCAGAATTGCTTAATCCACGAGCCACTGGGTTATTCGCCTGCCATTCTTTGACGAAAGTCATGAACCCATTTCGCTTTTTTGGAGCCATTCCAATGTTAGTAGAGGGAACGCTCGTGTAGGACGTGGAAAATACGGTAGATCGGACGCCGGGAGCCAGTATGACAGCAATCAACAGTTAACCGAATAGGTGCGCAGGTAGGTTGCAACAGATATGTTTCAAGCTATGGAAAAAGACTCTTTTTGCTTGTTGCTTGTCCGAAATTTCTGGAAATTAAAAAAGCCGGGAACCTGACACTGTGAAAAACGGAGATTATCGGTATCTGGCTTATCGGACAGTGTGACCGCATTGCGACAAAAATGTATGTTGGGATAGGGTTGCACCAACGAACGCAATTGATTTGTTATCGTTTATTGCCGGCTGAAATTGTGGATATAAACAAACCATTTGTGTGTTTTTTTTTGGTTTTACCATGACCTGTGACACAACTGCGGCCTTGGTGGCCCACATGTGTGATGTCGTGCAGTTCTACATGCTACCGGAGCTGAAAGAAGATCTGGACAACGTTCAGCTGGCTCCGTCCCAATTTGAAAGTTATCATGTCTTGCTAGCTAACGAATTGCCGAAATTCTACGATCTGGTGCAGGAATTCCTTCAGAAGACCAATAATGCTGGACACGAAGAGGTGGGTGGATCTCCTCGCGATTTATTCTATTAGTTACAGTCTGTTTCCCTTTAGCTGAGGGCTCAAATTGTGATGCTTCTTTGCGAGCTGACAGCTGCTCCTACCGTTTACCAACTTAATGATGGGAGTGGTAACTTGCTGCGAAATGCCAATAAATTGGGAAGGAAACTCTCGGATACGTGGGGGGAATCAATGGACGCGCACATACTTAAAAACTACGAGAAAAAGCTGCAAAAGAACTGTTGGAAGCGACAGCTTGGCGCCGTGCATGGGTTTGCCAGATATCTAGAGGTGGTAGTTAGAAAAGTACTCATGATTGATTTATTCAAAATGTTCGGCTCATCATTGCAGCTCCGTTATACGAAGGACGACAAAATGACCACCCAGATGCTGGCCTTCAGCTTGTCGGTCGGACTCAATGTGCGAGAGTGCTACGACTTTGTCTATAAGCAACTCGGTGTGCAGATCTTTTCAATAATGCTGAAGCACGGCGTAGGCATGATGCTTGTTCTCTGAGAACCATAGATCGTTAATTGTTTAACTTGCAGGACCTTAAGGACATTCAGGAATTGAATATCCACAGCGTGATCTATGATCATGCGCTTAGAGATGCCTTCAGCATGGACTCGATTGAAGCTGTGACTGCCATATGGAATTGTCTGTACCTCTGTCTGGATCACTTCATTGATCTGGATGCCTTTACGGTGGGGGCTGTCCTCACAAAATAGTTGAATATTATTTACAGAGTGGTTTATCCCCCACAGTGGAACCAATGCGATGATATGCTGGACCGGCTCCTTCAAAATGTGACAATGTCATCAAAAGCCAACAACTCCATATGCCTGCTTCAGTTTATAACACGTCTTGGCTACTACTTCACCATCAATCGAGGCGAGATCGAAGCCGCTCTGGCCACGGATCTTACACGAGCGGATCAACTGGATGCCTGCCAGGAAGTGTGCTCCTCGATCAACTCTAGCACCAGTTATCGTTGGGCCAAGAGCATTCTGCAAATGCTCGTCTTGGAGTCGGAGAAACTGCTGCAAGGCCCTGAGGTTTGCGCAGAGCTACTCGGCCAGATGCAGCGCTGCTATCTGGTCTGCATCCTGCCCATTCCACTTCAGGCTCTGCATGTTCATTTGCCCGAGTTCTACACAAAATTCGTGGCTGTGCTCCTAGAGTGCATGGTGACCCATAAGATGGCACCGACAGTTCAGAAGGTGAGCTTGATCTTTATCCGTGCAAAAGGCCAACGAATGACATCCCTTTGCGCAGCTGGTGCAGCGCTTTACAGAAATATTCAGCTTCCAGCTTAAGAACTGCTCGCTCCATCAGCTACCCAGCGACCTGGAGGAGTATGTGAAGGCATTGAAGTCCCTACAACAAACCATTTCTAAATAAAAACGAAAATTTAACTGATGAAATAATCGGCAATTAATGGATAAGTGAGTGTTGCTATGATCGCATGTGGCAGTATCGCAATCAGAGCCGGCCGCAGACCCAGAAAGAATCCTCTGTAGCCGTGCAACTGAATGATTTTGAGGCAGAGATGCGTCTTCGAGGGGAACTTCTTGAAGCAAGAATTCATGACCACCGTTTTTACCGCTTCTACTGGCGTCAGGATTAATGATATGATGCTGCTCGTTATCGTCATTGCCATCAGATCGATGACCCAATCCTCATCACGAATTCTGTGGAGTTTCAAAAGCATATCCGACACCTTTTGTGAGGGGCATTCAAATTAAAGCGACTATGGATAAAAGATAGTCCGTATATGTTACCCAATCGTGTACAGGTGCGTAGAGCGCTGCCACCGCTCCGGTGGTGAAAGCATGCAGCTCGCATCCACTGAAGAGGAAGGACATTCCACTCTTACCATACATGCACTTGAGAGCCTTCCAGGGGTCTCTATAACTGCAATAAAAGTAACTTGAAAAGAACAGCACCCACAAAGCTTTCGAGTTAATTTGTTTACTTGCGCTGCAAGAAGGGACGGCGGGTTAGATCGGCCTGCCGCACTATTGCCACCTTGGCAAATGGCGTTGAGAGCAGGCCGCCGCCTAATCCGCTTATGCCCGCCACTGTGGAGGTGTCGTATGGCTCCAGTATCAGCAAGTACTCGTTGTCCTTCAGCCAGTACAATGCATACTTTGTCCCGGTCTGAACCGTACACCGCAGCAGTGCACCACGAATGCCGTAGTAGAAGCCCGCAATCCTCTTCTGCTTGAACATCAGATGGACCACATCCGAATACGAGACGTAGTGCAGCACATTTGCCTGGATGTTCACTCTTATTATGTCTATGGGATCCATCAATATCTTTTAACATGTCTTCCCCAAACGTAGGAATAACGTGTCCGAAACGCGATTGGCGAAGAAGCGCGCTTGTTCGTCACCGAAGCGAAACTCCTGTATTGTATTGTATTTATTATGTACTGTATTTTGGGGGACTTCGAACAGTTTGTGGAGCTGTTCCTGGACGGCCACACACTGGAAGCATGTGTTGCCCTTTTGGAAGCGCAGCAACGATTAGAATGTACTCTTCATCAAACACGAGCACATGATTACCGTTCCCGCCGTGGTTCGTCGCTGTGGGAATATTGGCGACTGGCGCCATCATATGAATGAGGAGATGTCCGAGCGTTTTGATGCTTGGAGCGAGCAGCATGTAAGCGGTTCTGGTTTACGATTTGACTACGATTAAGCCCTTCACCTATTATTAGTACATTAAATAATCAAATCATTATTTCGTTATTGTAGCTTAGTGTACTTAATTGAAATACAATTAAATGGTAATTCCTTCACAGAAGGAAATTTTGATTGCTTCCTGATATCGTGTTCAAGAATGTATTAATAACAATGTAACACGCGTACAAATTAGCGCGCAATTTTTTTTCCAGCTCCCATATTGAAATGACTCTTGTCAGGGAGCTGTCGGCGGCGGCCACCTAGGCTAGGGAATTCCTCATCGCTATCAAGGGTCCCTCCGTAGACACTGTGGTCTCTGGGCACGTAGGCCCTTGATACGGACTGATGGCTGCTACTCGGTGATAAGTCACGCGATCCCATCTCCTTCTGGATTCGCGGTGGCGCTGAGTAGTAGGAATCAAGCGAAATCTCATCAAAGTTTGTCGAAGAGGACGCAGGAGTAATAGTGTAGTTTGGCTTGACCTTAAGGGGAATGTGCTTCCCAGGCTGGAGTGGAATGGCCAGGTCTGCACACATGTAGTCGCTAAAGGTGAATCCCCAACGCTTGACCATACTGTTGGTACAATATTTCGAGCGATCGATTTTCTCATGGTACTAGAAATAAAATTTGATGGTTAGCAATTGATAAAAACTAGAAATATCTTAAAATTTAAACTTACATCGCACGAAATCCCTTCAGTATATTCAAAAAAGTCTTTGACAAAAAAGTTGTTCGTCACATGGAAATTGATCCGATCATTCGTAACCCCAGCCACGTCCAATACACTCTTCTTTAAGGTGTAGAACAAATGGTGGATATCAAACACCATAATCTTTCGCTCATCTTCGTCTATTTCGGCCTCGGATGCCAGATAACGGAAGCAAGACTTTACCACCGGCATTAGCTCTGGGGTCGTGTAGACAATAACCGGATCTTGGTCCAATTTTTCTTCATTGCGGACGGATAACCAATTGAAGATATCAATATATAGTTTTCCCATGTTGGTCTCGCCAAAGGCCTGCGGTGGCAAGGGCAACTTGTGGGTAGTCTTGGAGTGATCCTGCGCATCTCTACTTTGTCCGTAGATGATGTGGCCTGAGAATAAATTGTGGTTACGACTAGGTCCAACGCATCAGTCTTACATCAACACTCACCCGGATTAATCATGGTACTGTAATTAGAGCTTATGCCTCCCTTCAGAGAGTAGCGGCAGGCGGAAAACTCAGCGGGCACGTAAATATCACCAGTCAAGGCCTTGGTAAAATAATTGAAGCTAACAAACACAAAATCCTCATTCTCCAACTCTGCAAGCAAAAATCAGCGACGAGTTTTGTTAATGGCAACTGGCTCTCGTTCAGAACACAGTACCTAACTTACCCATAGAATTTTTTGCTGTCAAAATAATGCGTTCGATCTTTCGCTTCATTTGAAGCTCGGCACTTATGGCCTCGTTTTTCTCTATTTCCATTTCTGCGACGGAACCGCCCAGACAGTTAAGACGCTCTTTCTTTGCTGTTCTCTCCAGAACGTTTGCATTCTTAGCCATCGAGTTATACGGACCGCGTTCCTGGTCGCCCATGCTTTTCCATATAGGATCACACTTAGCCACCGCCTCAGAATTGCTTAATCCACGAGCCACTGGGTTATTCGCCTGCCATTCTTTGACGAAAGTCATGAACCCATTTCGCTTTTTTGGAGCCATTCCAATGTTAGTAGGGGGAACGCTCGTGTAGGACGTGGAAAATACGGTAGATCGGACGCCGGGAGCCAGTATGACAGCAATCAACAGTTAACCGAATAGGTGCGCAGGTAGGTTGCAACAGATATGTTTCGAGCTATGGAAAAAGACTCTTTTTGCTTGTTGCTTGTCCGAAATTTCTGGAAATTAAAAAAGCCGGGAACCTGACACTGTGAAAAACGGAGATTATCGGTATCTGGCTTATCGGACAGTGTGACCGCATTGCGACAAAAATGTATGTTGGGATAGGGTTGCACCAACGAACGCAATTGATTTGTTATCGTTTATTGCCGGCTGAAATTGTGGATATAAACAAACCATTTGTGTGTTTTTTTTTGGTTTTACCATGACCTGTGACACAACTGCGGCCTTGGTGGCCCACATGTGTGATGTCGTGCAGTTCTACATGCTACCGGAGCTGAAAGAAGATCTGGACAACGTTCAGCTGGCTCCGTCCCAATTTGAAAGTTATCATGTCTTGCTAGCTAACGAATTGCCGAAATTCTACGATCTGGTGCAGGAATTCCTTCAGAAGACCAATAATGCTGGACACGAAGAGGTGGGTGGATCTCCTCGCGATTTATTCTATTAGTTACAGTCTGTTTCCCTTTAGCTGAGGGCTCAAATTGTGATGCTTCTTTGCGAGCTGACAGCTGCTCCTACCGTTTACCAACTTAATGATGGGAGTGGTAACTTGCTGCGAAATGCCAATAAATTGGGAAGGAAACTCTCGGATACGTGGGGGGAATCAATGGACGCGCACATACTTAAAAACTACGAGAAAAAGCTGCAAAAGAACTGTTGGAAGCGACAGCTTGGCGCCGTGCATGGGTTTGCCAGATATCTAGAGGTGGTAGTTAGAAAAGTACTCATGATTGATTTATTCAAAATGTTCGGCTCATCATTGCAGCTCCGTTATACGAAGGACGACAAAATGACCACCCAGATGCTGGCCTTCAGCTTGTCGGTCGGACTCAATGTGCGAGAGTGCTACGACTTTGTCTATAAGCAACTCGGTGTGCAGATCTTTTCAATAATGCTGAAGCACGGCGTAGGCATGATGCTTGTTCTCTGAGAACCATAGATCGTTAATTGTTTAACTTGCAGGACCTTAAGGACATTCAGGAATTGAATATCCACAGCGTGATCTATGATCATGCTCTTAGATCACTGATCATTGATCTGGATGCCTTTACGGTGGGGGGCTGTCCTCACAAAATAGTTGAATATTATTTACAGAGTGGTTTATCCCCCACAGTGGAACCAATGCGATGATATGCTGGACCGGCTCATCAAAAGCCAACAACTCCATATGCCTGCTTCAGTTTATAACACGTCTTGGCTACTACTTCACCATCAATCGAGGCGAGATCGAAGCCGCTCTGGCCACGGATCTTACACGAGCGGATCAACTGGATGCCTGCCAGGAAGTGTGCTCCTCGATCAACTCTAGCACCAGTTATCGTTGGGCCAAGAGCATTCTGCAAATGCTCGTCTTGGAGTCGGAGAAACTGCTGCAAGGCCCTGAGGTTTGCGCAGAGCTACTCGGCCAGATGCAGCGCTGCTATCTGGTCTGTCTGGTCTATCCTAGAGTGCATGGTGACCCATAAGATGGCACCGACAGTTCAGAAGGTGAGCTTGATCTTTATCCGTGCAAAAGGCCAACGAATGACATCCCTTTGCGCAGCTGGTGCAGCACTTTACAGAAATATTCAGCTTCCAGCTTAAGAACTGCTCGCTCCATCAGCTACCCAGCGACCTGGAGGAGTATGTGAAGGCATTGAAGTCCCTACAACAAACCATTTCTAAATAAAAACGAAAATTTAACTGATGAAATAATCGGCAATTAATGGATAAGTGAGTGTTGCTATGATCGCATGTGGCAGTATCGCAATCAGAGCCGGCCGCAGACCCAGAAAGAATCCTCTGTAGCCGTGCAACTGAATGATTTTGAGACAGAGATGCGTCTTCGAGGGGAACTTCTTGTAGCAAGAATTCATGACCACCGTTTTTACCGCTTCTACTGGCGTCAGGATTAATGATATGATGCTGCTCGTTATCGTCATTGCCATCAGATCGATGACCCAATCCTCATCACGAATTCTGTGGAGTTTCAAAAGCATATCCGACACCTTTTGTGAGGGGCATTCAAATTAAAGCGACTATGGATAAAAGATAGTCCGTATATGTTACCCAATCGTGTACAGGTGCGTAGAGCGCTGCCACCGCTCCGGTGGTGAAAGCATGCAGCTCGCATCCACTGAAGAGGAAGGACATTCCACCCTTACCATACATGCACTTGAGAGCCTTCCAGGGGTCTCTATAACTGCAATAAAAGTAACTTGAAAAGAACAGCACCCACAAAGCTTTCGAGTTAATTTGTTTACTTGCGCTGCAAGAAGGGACGGCGGGTTAGATCGGCCTGCCGCACTATTGCCACCTTGGCAAATGGCGTTGAGAGCAGGCCGCCGCCTAATCCGCTTATGCCCGCCACTGTGGAGGTGTCGTATGGCTCCAGCATCAGCAAGTACTCGTTGTCCTTCAGCCAGTGGTACAATGCATACGTTGTCCCTGTCTGAACCGTACACCGCAGCAGTGCACCACGAATGCCGTAGTAGAAGCCCGCAATCCTCTTCTGCTTGAACATCAGATGGACCACATCCGAATACGAGACGTAGTGCAGCACATTTGCCTGGATGTTCACTCTGATTATGTCTATGGGATGTGATAGCATAATGGCAGCTACATTGATCACGTATCCGACGTAGACGGGCAAATTGGCAATGCGATCGAGTGTTGTGCCACCGCTGTCATTGCTTGTCATATTGAATAGTCACGCCTACAACATGGCACAGTAAAACAATATTTTTAAAATGTCATCCCCAAACGTAAGAATGTGTTCGAAACGCGATTGGCGAAGAAGAGCGCTTGTTCGCCCCCGAAGCGAAACTCCTGTATTGTATTGTATTTATTGTGTACTGTATTGTGTTAAATATAGGCTAAAACGGAATAAACGGAAGTAATACTACTCGCACTCTGCTCTCAGTTTCACAATCTCTAACTGGGTTTTCTTCGCCTCCAGCATGGTCACGGTGCGCTTCAGCTCAGCAATCTCGTTCAATTTGTTAAAATAGGTCGATTTTGTCTCCAGATACTCGGTTTCCGCCTTGATCAGTTCCTTCTGCAAGCGACTGGCGTCAGCATGGGGGGCCGCAAGTGCATCAATGTGAGTAAGGTACCCCTCCAGGTCGGCACCAGAGTTCCGCACATCATCGTCTTCCAGCAATTTGTCCAAAGTAATTGAGGTTGTATATGTGGCGCCAACAGGTTTCGGCTCGATTTCGCTCTTCCCCCCCTCCTGATCCCTTATGTTTTTGAACTGGGAATGAAATACAAGCATAAGAAATTGAATGCAACGCCACTTTGGACAAGCGTCTACGTACCTCCTCGGTTAGGTCCACCTTGTATTTGTTGCACGACTTTCTGTAGGGAAACAAACAGATTTGTTTTATTGCAGAATACTGAGACTGTACTTCAGAGGATCGGCTGTACTGACCTGTGGATGACGAGCCTGTCGATGCTGGTGTTTGCCTGTGGCTTATGGCAGTGCAGGCAAAGTGCGCGTTGTTTCTTGGTGGCGGGGTCGGGAACGGGCGTGAATCCGAGCCGCTTCCATGTAGATGCCTTGGAGCTACCGCGTATACGTGCGACTTTCATTGCGAGAAATTACGAGTATTTTGACATGAAATTTTCTCTCGACAAAGCGTCGTTGCAACCCTGGCAATGTGGCCGTTCGTGTATATGTATGTGGCGTTAGTATCTATCTACATGGTGCCATTTTGTTTTGAGCTGTTTCAGTACGTATAAAAATGCCACGAAAGAAGTCAGAAGATTTTTATAAGAAGTTCGGCTTTTCCGCGAAGTGTGAAAATGGAAAATACACGGCCACCTGCACTTTTTGCAACAAGGAACTTCAAAATACAGCGCTAACAAGACTTTCGTTACATAGGTAATTTTGTTTGTGTATATGTATATGTATACCAATGTAATGTACGGATTCATTGCAGGCAAACGTGCGATCAAAAGAGAGCGCTATCGGAGACACAATCCATCAATATGGAGAGAGCCCGTCCAGTGCTCAAGGTGCGTATTTAATTGCTGGTAAAAGGAATTATTATTATTGAATGCATCCCATTTTGTAGATCCATAAGATTACGCACGAGGACGCGGATGGCGGCATCGATCATGGGAACGAGGGCAAGGAGATCATTGTGAAGGCAAGTACCGAGAGTTGAAAGACGCCACCGACTCGATCTAAAGTATAGACCACAAACTATAGATACAAGAATTTTTGGACGAGTGCGATGACGATACAGATGGCAAGGAGCAGGCGACCACGGTCAAATCTGAACTTATGAACAGCGAACAGAATAGCCCCCACTTGAATGTTTCAAAGGAGGAAGAAGCTATGGAAATTGAAATTACTGCAGGGCCAGAAAGTCGGGAATACGTTGAATTTCTTGACGAATACAAAGAAGTGATAGTAAGAGGTGCTTTCCATGTCCGATTGGCAATCATAATTCCAACCCTATCTCTTGCAGCAAAGCCTAGACGACCCGGCGAATGGTACGGACACGAACTTTGGAGAGAACAGACCGAAAAACAACCTGGCTTTGCTGAAAGCCGACAAAGCCAGGGCAGAGATAAAGCAATACAACAGCAAGGCCATGTTTTTAAGGACGGAAACGGAAAACCTGAAACTAGAAAGGACGCTGACATTGCTGAAGATACAAAAGCTGCGCTTGGAAATAGACTGTTTGCGCGCCCAAAGCTAAAATTTCATATCTTATCCACATATTTACTGAAAACAATGCAAATACAATTCATACAATTCATTCAAATGGAGGGAAAATATGCATCTGGGGTGGCAGCTCTGTCAGCTAGTGAGCGTTATCGGTTATCGACTGTGGACCCTGGTTGTATTTTTCTTAATCAATATCGCAACCCTGTTCATCACATGATAGTCAGAGGTGAAGAGGAGGGAAGAGTAGATTTTTCTTTGCAAGTCGTTCGTCATATGATTGAAAAAAGTCCAGCAAAAAACTGAAGATGTTGCAGAATTGCGTGATATTCTCACTGTTTATTGCAGCCAGTAAGTATATTAATTAATCTTAATGGCGCTATGCCCAGGCACAGAGTTCGGAATGTGCAAAAACGCCACTTGTTCTCTACACTTTGATTCGTGTTGGGGGTGGTGACTCCTCAACTTAGGTAAAAGTGTCTCACGAGTGTAGCCTGCATGCGCAGAGTCTGTGATAAAAACCCTTCTATTAGACAAAAGAAAACCTTTTATATTTACACGCCTTTCTTTCGTCCAGTTCATGCTGCGGGCGAGCTGACTGTGCTGAACAGCCCCAAGGCGATCAGCTTCAAAGGCAACGATGCGCTGGATAGCCAATATGTGGGCGATGTCATGTACGCTTCCATGGGCAACGCCGTCGCTGGCGACTCCAACTGGAACGGCATGATCATCAACGATCCCTTCGAGTTGGCCAAGGGCGTGATCTGTGTGCACGTGCGGGGTATCAGCCACGTTATCGCTGCAGGTAATGCAAAGACCTATCAGCTCACCGAATCCAACACCGATGCTTCACTTAACGCCCTGGCTGCCGAGCTGGAGGCTACCAAGGAGCCCGTGTGCGACATCAACTTCGGGCAGTTCGACGAGGGTGTAAGTAGCTCCCCCTCCATAGGATCGAGCACCCGTGCGCATAATTTATGTAATACCTTATGTCCCAACAGGTGCAAGCGTTCAAGTCGTGCTTCGGTAACATCAAAGTCACCCCCGCCAAGCCAACAAAGCACCTGAGCCCAGTTCTGCACAACGCCGACAAGCAGTTCCTCCAGGAGATCGGCTACCTCGACGGCGCTGCCGAGAACCTGGCCGATATGACGAAGCCCGCAAATGTGCTGATTCTTCGCGTGTCGGTCGACGACATTGCCAAGGCCCATGGTGAGAAATCGGTGGCTCTGGACGAGGCCAACAAGCTGCTCTCGGCCTCCATTAGCCGACTGTTGGCCGCTTCCCAGAAATCCAGCGATTCTGTTCTCTTCGTCCTGACCACTGACAAGGACACAGGTGTCGGCCGCACCAAGCGTGATACCTTGGCTGCCGACGCGTCGAACCCCTTCAATTTGGCCACCTACTACAGCAGCGACTATCCAGTCATCTTCAACATCATTCTTTGGTTCATGGTCGTCTTTGCCCTGTCTCTGCTGGCCATTTGCTACGCCATCGCCGCCATGGATCCCGGCAGGGACTCGATCATCTACCGGATGACGTCCACCCGCATCAAGAAGGACAACTAAGCGGAGTCCGAAGTGGAGCTTACATTACCTTGTTTGTTATTTCGTCCCTTTTTTGAGTTGCGTGAAGCCGACCCAATTTCAACTCCAGTCAAAACTAGATCAAATTCAGCGGAGAAATTGTGTGTGAGTGTGTGCAGTCGTTGCTGTTGGCTTTAGCTATAAATAAGTATTACTTATCATTTTTGAAATGCTGTTGCGGATGAGCAACAATTCCATAGTAATTTGTTAAATCTTCCTTGTTTGTTGTACTTTTTAGGTTTATATATATAACAGATAACATACTCGCCAGTCAGGTCAGCCCTCTATCAAACTATTCATCAATATGTAAATTACCAAAATTCAAATGTTAAACAGTAAAGTTAAATATATATAGCCTAAAAAGACAAGAGTGCCGGAATTGTTTAATTTATATATCAAATGTGATCTCGAACGGAAAATTTTCAAAATTAAAATTGTCGAGTTGTCAGAATTTTTCCAACTCTACATTTTTACTACACAACTGACAGATGGCGACACTGTGCAATGGCGCGCGATTTGATTTGTTTACACTCTGCAGATCTCCTGCTGTTCGGGATGCCGCAAAAGACACGTTCTTAACAGTAATAACTTTTATTTAATATAGATATGTATTACCCTAATAAGGACGGGGTGGGTCTACGTCTACCCACCTATTAAAATCGATTTGTCGTTGCCAGAAATACGGATGTAGCAAAGCTGGCGACACTGGTCAAGACTTGGTTCTTTGGCAAACTTTTCACAACGATTCTTCGCCTACGCTCCCCACTGGTCGTGGCCTTGATCGTAAGGAGAACTGCTGCCTCCGCTCCAAGTGCAACAGACGCTTTCATTTTGCGTCGAATTGTCGCGCAGCATCGCCTGGAGGTGATTGATATAGTTGATGGCAATCCTGGAGTGGGAGGTGGGTTCACCATTATTATTGACTCCTCGTGGATGGAAGCAAACTGGAAGGAAGCTACTCACCTTAGGCTCTCGATTTTGGAGTACTTTTTGCCATTGGGCTTGGAGATGGGCAGCTTGGAGCGCAGCAGATCGAAGGCTCTGTTCATGTCCCGCATCCTGGTGCGCTCCCGATCGCAGGCCGTGCGCCTGTAGTCCTTCTCCATCTGCAGAGCCTTCTCCCGCCAGGCGGGATTGTGCTCCTTTGAGATCTCCACCTCGGTGCTGCTGGCGATGCTCCCGCCACCGTAGGTCATGTACATGGGCGGAGGAACCAGCTCGTTGGGCTTGGTCTCCATATGGCTAGATAGAGGGGGGGCGGGTACCTGACCGGCGTGCCACATCGACACCGGCTGCGGAATGATGCTGTAGGGCGGATGAGCCATCGTTGACTGCATCATGCCCATTCCGGAGGATTCCTTCTCGTAGCTGCTCATCAGGGTGGGCGAATAGGGGAGGCAGCCATGCGGGGGCTGCTGATGTGTGGCATAGGCCAGCATACCGCCACCATCGGGGGACAGCGTGTAGTTGAGACTGATGGGGATGTGGCTCGACTGTGGGGCCCCGAGCTCCAACAACACCGGCTGCTCCACGGGCTCGACATCGCCCTCGGGTGCACCGTTGAGGTAGGACCCGGGCGTTGAGACGGGGAGGGCCACCAGGGCAGGTGGCGGTGGCTGGCCGGAGGCTGCACTCAGCATTTGATCAGTCATCGCCTAAGCCGATTTCGACGTCCGCTGACGGCAATGAACGCGATCGCTCTGGCTCTGGCTCTGGAATTTCTTCTTTCCTCTTTCCTCTTGTGCTTGTGACGCTCTGCGGCTCGATGGCTCGGTGCAGTAGCCTTACCTGCCGGTGTACACTATTTTTAGTGCACTAGAAGTTTGCCAGTTGACGGGGGAATCTAGTTTTCCTTGATGAATGCCTCACCATCGAGGACCGACTGAATCCGAGACGTGTGGACTATTCATCTTAAGGTCCAGTGGTCGCGGCCCTTACAACAACCAGCATCATCTGCTTAGATGATGAAGAGGTGTCTTTTGTACGTGTGTCAATAAGATCAATTGCGAGACAATGGCGAGTGCAACTTGTCGTCGAGGATCGTTGCGTCGTCCGATCGTGTACCTGCTGGCGGGGCGGAACAAAGCCGCTTAATTTCCTTGCTATTGTGACCGGGGAAGGGTGATCGAGATCGAGATCGATGCCGAGGCGCGTGTGCCAAGCTGAAGTTGCGTTTGTCGTCTGTGTGGCTTGGAGCGTCGCCAGGCGATCGTCGAGATCGTCGCCACAACTTCAGTTTGAGTTTTTCTTTGATCGCTATATACATCGTACGAACACCTACCCATCCCCCGCCCTCCCACCTGGCCATAGGTATACTCCCCCATGTATTTGTATTTTTGTCGCATGTAAACACAAGTGTTTTGACTTAATTGAAAAAAAATACATATCCATATCCCAGAGCCATATCATAGCCATAGCCATAGCCATAGCCATAGCCAGAGGCATTAATATACACCTCTATATATACACCCTCTGGCCAGGCAGCTCTCAAATGTTCGCCCAATACCAATTTCAAACTAATCCATAAAACTACAGTGAAGACTAACTTATGACCTTGTTCTCAATCGCCGAAAGTGCAAATGGGATAAGACCCTATATTCTATAGATAGTCACAGATCTTCTACTAAGATTATATATCATTTTGGGGGTGTGTCTATTTTCTAGCATTCAGACACTCCACTCACCATTCTATTACCCTAAATTCCATTTAATTGGAGCGACCACTGTTGGCTTTTGCCCACCGAGATCTCGTATTACTTGCACATTCTACGAAAACAAGGAAATTACTTGCATTTTTGCACAGCCGAAAGTTATTTTAGCTGCATTGCCAGAGACTGCTCGGGGTCTTGCCGGGAATCGGAAATAAATGCGTTCAGTTCTCCTAACGACAAGCGAGAACCGCGAGTGTGTGGTGGTGTCGAGTGGCCGCCAGGAAGGTGTAGACCGCCCCCAAAAGTGGGTTACATTCGTAATTCGAAGCTTACTGAAGTTTATTGTTTGCTGCAGTGTGTAAAAAAGTTGAAATAAATAGCGAGTGTACAATATTAAGTGGTGCAACACGAGCTTAGCTCTGAGCCGTGGCATAGATCAATTCATTGCAGTTATGTACATGGGAGTAGGGATCGGGTCGGATGGGCCGAACTATGTAATTTGTGACAAGCCAAGCGCACCAGGCAGCCGTCGTCGCGTCAAGCAAATGCATATCAACCAAACTCTTCGTGCGTTTCTAGCTGCCGCATTTCAGGGGCCGCAGCTCAAAGTATTTGTCCAGCACCTCATCGGTAATAAGCTTGCGCGCCGCCTGATGCTGCTCCACTATTGGTGTGAGGGTCTACGGAGTAGAAGATTAGCAATTGGATTTGCCAACATTCAAGTGTCTACTCACCTCCACGGCCAGCTTCTTGATCTCTCCCGTGAGCATCTCACCCTTGCTGTAGGCCACGCGCACCTCCTCCAGCTTTGCATCGTCCTCGAGGAAGAACTTCAGAAGCTGGTAGGACACGTCTATCTCTGGCACGCCGCCTAGCTCCCGATGCTCCTCTACCGTTGTGCGGCCACCCGAAAAGGCATACTTGTTGATCTTGTTCTTGATCTGCTTGGGCGTATCGGTCAGGTACACAGCAGAGTTCTGGTCGCTGGCGGACATCTTCGTCTTGGCTCCCTGCAGGGCCGGGAAAAAGGTGGAGTGGATGAGCGCACACTTAGGGAAGCCCAGGCGTGGAGCCACGTCGCGCGTCATGCGGAAGTAGGGGTCCTGATCGATGGCGCATGGGATGAGGCAGTGAACCTTCTTGTTGCCGAAGAGGAAGGGGAAGGTGCTGGAGATCGCTGGCGCTGCCTGGGCGGCGGGGAAGCCGATCTTGCCAATGATATCTGAGTCACCAAAACCGAAGATACCCTTCACCTGATTGAAGGTGACGCACTTTTGGATGCGAATGATATTCTGGTACATGGCAGGACACTTTCTATGAGGACACAATATTGAGAAGATGAATAAAAGAGCTGGAATCAGCTATACTATGCTTTGTAGACCTACCCCATAAACTCCAGGTTGTTGAATATAAATGTCTTGTTCACATCAAAGCCCATGGCCACAATATCCTTGGCATTCTCTCGGGCCAGCTTGATGGCGTCCTCCACTTTCAAGTCTTTCCACAAGGTCTTCTCGTCGTCCGTCAACTGAATGACCAGCGGCACATCGAACGTCTCTTGCAGCCACTTGGTCATCATGAAGGGAATCAGGTGGCCCACGTGCAGGGAACCCGAGCTGGGACCGCGACCCGTGTACAAATAGAAGGGCTTGCCCTGCTCTTTCAACGTCAGAATGGTGTGCAGGTCACGGTGCGAGAAGAACATGCCGCGCCTAATCAGATGGTGTGCCGGCTTTCCCGTGATTTTCTCGAAGCGCGCGATAACCTCATCATCGATTTTGCTGGAGCCAAAACGTTCTGCAACGTGTCAATCAACAATGTCATATCATTAGGGAGGCTAAATATGTGTGAGTATTGTATAGATGATTCGATGGCACTTACTTATTAGCTTATCGTAGTCCACGCCCGTATCGTTGCTGCTCGCCACATTCCACGGATCCACAACATCTTCAGCCGCCGCTGCTGCTGCTCCTTCTTGGGCCTGTGCATCGGTGCCCGTTTCCACGGGCTCGCCATCGGGCTTACCATTCAATGTCAGCGCCTCGACGCCCTCAACAACCGTCTCTTTGGTGTCCGTCATTTGATTAGGAGTTCAGTCTGCACTGTATTAAGCAATAAACAATAAAAATAATAAGTAATACTGTCGAACTTTCACATGTGAGGGCCAGTGACCGCGGATTTATCAATAAAATATACCGTCAGACCCTCAGAAATATACCGAAACATACCGTCTCATTTAAGAGACGGTAAGCCTCTATGGAAGCGCCAGTGTGAAAACCTCCGTTATCCACTTTTTGACAGATATGATTCCGACATTTCTGAAAAAATTGAATTTTTGATGGCATACGATCATTCGATTCTGATCACGAATTAGAATTCGATTTGGCCTGGGACTTGGCTCTAAATGTCATTTCTACACGGTTTTTACATTGCATTGAACAAGAGGGTCAGTCTTACAATATACTGGAAAATACTGGAATACTATGAAAAGTATAAAATTTGCAAGGTGTGTGAGCTAGACATGGTGGCAAGAAAATCATGGTGACCGCGGATTTATCCATAAAATATACCGTCTGACCCCCAGAAATATACCAAAATATATCGGATCATTATAAAAATGTACCGTAAATATACTGACGAATGCAATTGTTTATATATTCGGCTGATTGATTATAAACAATTAATTCACCATGCCTATTATGTACAATACGGGCGAGTG